TACACTGAACATGAACAATCCAATTAGTTGTCTCTTCAATATCCCTCAACATCTTTTTATTTTATTTTATATACATATATACACACAGAAAGCCAATCTTATTGACTCAACCTTGGTTGTTACTAATATGTGTGAAACTGAATTATATATGAAAAAAAACAACCTCAGGAATATTTTATCAACAGTATTCCCTAAACTAGAGGAAGGAAAAGGAAAAGGTGGACAAAAGACTGAACATCAGCTGAAAGGTCTTTCCTGCCAGATGGTCGGCTGTTCTTATTTTTCTGCCCTGTTGCTGTTTATGGTCTCTTTCCAACACACGGCTAAAGTGGATCCATTAGCATAGACGGCAGCAGGCGTTTAGTTAGCTGTGTGGACCGTTTCACATGCAGCTCCTTAGTGGCTCCTATAAATGGTTCTTCCATGCCTGATCAATGTGCAGTGGCTACGGTCGCCATGGGAACCGAACAATAGCAAGACGTCTGACACCAAACACTGGAAAACTGTACAGCATTGGCACATGGATCCTCCAACCACACAGGTGTTGTCTGTGAACAGGGTGGGCGTGGCTTGAATGATGCTTCACGTTATAAAAATTTTAGTACCTGACTGTTTCTGATTGGTGCTCTCTGTTTGTGACATCATCGTTTTCTATAAGCCCCACCCTGTTCCTATGTGATTAGGTTTAGTAATTAGACTAATGAAAAGATTTGGGGGGTTGAAGGTTTAAGGAAGTCAGTGCCCACTGGTGGTGAAACCTTATACTGCAAGTGACTTCAACTTCTTTCAAAGCCTATTATGCATTTCTGGGACGATAATTAAGGGATCCTGATGACTTCAGTGCTGAAAGACATGCTACAATAGACTACGGGTCAATTTTCACTCTTTCACAAACTTTTTACTGTAATTGTCAGAGAGTGATGCAGTCACTCCTCCCTCTGACATTGTTGCTAATGTCGAGAAGAGGATGAAGGTATTTCCTGTGTGTGAGGAACCATGTTGGCTCCACGTTACTGTCTAGTTGTTTGTTTGGTTGATAACTGGATCTGAAACAGACCTTGACTTTTACAGTACGATTGTAGATGATTGTAGAACAGTTTGGTCTTATCTCTTCTACGGTGGATATTCAACTAATGACGTTTGGGTCTGGATGCTGTTTGTAGAACAGTTTGGTCTTATCTCTTCTCCTCAGGGGTCGCTACGGTGGATATTCAACTCAGTGACGTTTGGGTCTGGATGCTGTCCCATTTATCATCAAAAAAGGTCACCAGTGTGGATCCGACAGTCAAACTTATCAACTAGAATTTCCCTCACAGCCATCTGTAGAGAGAACAGTTCACGAGCAGGAAAACCAGGTGTACTGTGGACACAAAACTACGATTTGTTCACTGCAAATATTTGCCTTTTTTAATAAGTCCACGCTGCGGTGACAGACAGAACAGTTAAATACTGAAGCTGGAAGATCAAAAACTTTCATTAAATAAACCTTTTGTGACATTTTTGTTTGGTGTTGCAGCTCAAAAAATGTTAGGCCTAAATGCTGACCTATGACCTATGTGTTGGTACCAGAGGCCAGGCTGAACTGGGGGGATGAAGCTAGTCCCAGCAGTCACCACAAAAAGTAGCTCCACTTCCTAGAAGTAAATTTTGCAGCATCGTATAAAACAAAATTATGTTTAAGTGCAGCAACAGTCAGCGTATATGAGACATTTTCTACCACAGTTTGTCATAAATATATATATATAAAAAACCTTTTTGTGCTGTTTTTGTTAAAACCATATTCCATGAGGACAATAATCTTTGGCTCATTTCTATTTCCCTGTTGGGGACACTGAGTGTCCTCTGGGCCATATTCATGACCGGCTCTGATTATTCTGATTATGCTTTATTCGGGCAAATTACATCAACTAAGGTTTTCAGTGTTGCTGTGCAGAGTCTAATGTCTTCATACATCCTTTTCATGACCTGGTTTATCTGACAGGAATGGGAGCCCACGGTGCTAACCTGATTTCAGTAGAAGATCAGGTTGTATCCCAGTTTCTCACAGCTCCGCTGACCCTGCTGTGGGTGATGACCAAACTCAGACTATCCCTCGAGAGCAGCTTTCCTCCAACTCACTGTGGATCTAGGGCAGAGCATCCTCCACCTCCTCTCCCTCACCCCTCCTCCCCCCTACTTCTCTTCACTCCTTACTCTGTCTTAACTTTGGGTTGACACCTGATGCCACACAGTGGCATCTGTTTTCTGGGAATAGCTTTCTAACGTAGGGCTACACGAGACGGCTCTTTCCAGAAAGCTACAACAAATCCTGTATACGATGACTGTTAAATACACTGATGAGAGAGAGAGAGAGAGTGACAGAGAGAGAGGGAGAGAGAGAGACTGTCTCTGTACCATCTGCTCAGTGATACAGCAGAGAATCAATGTTTTCTTTTCCTTAGAATGTACTTGCCTGTCACACACATCTGACAGATGAAAATTGCATAAAAAAAACCCTTATATTCAAATGGAGTCATATTATAAAAGCTGTCCTGTATTCAGCCTAGAAATAAACTGGATGTACACCATTGTACGGTTTAAAACAGACACTTTTTTTTACTTCAAATGTCAAAATGCCACTTGTGGCCAGCGCTCCAGGGTTTAGACGCAGCTGAGAGACACACCTCATTCCTATTTTGTAAGAATAAATTTATTGAGGTAATAAATATGAAAACTGGGGTAAGAACAGACTGTGCCAACCGTGATGCTAATGATTTAATGTCATAAAAACCGATGACGCACCATGATCCCACAGTAACATCGTTCTATCACACGCCCTACTCTATGTTAGAAATGCTTCATCTCACACGGACAGAGGAGCTTTTTTTTTCTTGATTTCCTCATTAGCAGCCTGTCGGCTCAACTAACACCTCCCTTCCTCACCTCCGCCCAACCATCTCCTCTTCCCACACTCCACCAGCAGGCCCTCACTGACATTTGTCTGATGAATGTGCTCCATTTTCACATCTCTGCCCAATTAGGTGTTATGGCTTGAGCTGGAGATAAAGTGTAGTTGTTCGTGCGTGAATGTGATGTTCTCTGTGAGGAAGAACCACCGCAGGTTGGAAGGAGAACCAGAAACAGTTAACTTTGAACTGAGCTACAGTAAGGAGCACAGTGGTAGAAAGTGATGACTATGTGTTTTAGATCCCACTCTCTGTGTTTCCTCCTCTAAAGTAAAACCTATAATAATCATCACATCCTTTTAGTACTTATTTTTGATACGGCCATTGGTCCAGTGTGAGTGATCTCTCCATCTCAACCTAGTGTAGCAATTATCAGGCCTACTTACACATTTGCCTTACACACAGAAGGTCTGGGGTTCAAGCCCGGGAGAAACCACATACTTCATGGTCCCTCCTGTGGCAGCCGGGCAGTGCAAAGTTTCCCCATTGTGGAGAAACTTTTTTAATACTCTTAATAAATAACAATTATACCCATCTGAAATTCAGACCACACATCTTATTGTTTTTTTTTCTACTTTCAGCAGCATGTCACAACATGAACAGCTTAAGACTGTGATAATAAATTATGTTATGTATAAAACAAGCTCCCAGTGGCCAGAAGGAAGGGGATTTTTCACTTCTTCCTCAAAGCACCACAGCCTGTGCCAGGATTTGAGCTGGCAGTCCTCAGGTGACATGCTAGATCCTTTAACCGCTAAGTCATGGACGGCACCTCAGACCGAGCCAACCATGGCTTTACCTCCAACCTGCTCAAACATATCTGACATTCTAATTGGATATCTTATTGAATACATGTCCCTAACTGGATAATCTGTTCGGAATTTTAAATAACTTAAGTCATGCTATTCATTTAAAAAAAAATTAAGGTGACATAAATATGTGAGTCGTCTCCTTACAGGCATAGGATTAGAAAATAAAACCATCGCACCAGGCTGTACCTGGAAAACTGGGTCAGGAACCAGTGAGAGAGACCAATAATATGTTCTAAAAATATAACCAGAGCTACCGATGGGTTGTGGTGCACTTGTTTCTATCATCATAAACAAAGCTTGTGTGTATGTTACACATTCACCAGGCTCAGCAGACAGTAGTAAGTGTTGACCAATACCTTGGTGAAAGCAAGACTTTACAAATAAGAGTGCAAGTGGCATTAATTTGACTTTTTAAATTTATTTTGTCTTCCAGTAGTGATAATAGTGGTGATAAGTTTTTTGTCCTGTGTGGGAAGTACTCTTCACAAGACGACAGTAATTGAAATGGGAACAAAGCTGTTACGTTGTACGAGCAGTGATTTGGGCCACGGGTCCCAAGATGAGATGGAGGCCTAGAAAAGTTTTACATGTCAGAATGACTCTCCTGAAAAACACCCATCAATGCAGATGCTGCTGTAACACGATCAACCTGCAAAGGCTCAACGAGATTTTCACAAACACAGGTGTTTTTTCAAACCACAAACTAAAGTGTGATCCACATGCATTGGGAGGAGCTGCTAAACTGTGACAACAATTTTATTGTTAATCTTCATGATGTAATCCACTGGTATAATGTGGAATGATTCTGTAATTAACAACACCTTTAAAATATTTTTTAAAAATCGGCATCTGTTGGCCCTTATTTAATATTCACAAATTAAGCTAAAGAACTATTATTGAAAACCTGCAAACATTACTGAGCTTTTTTAAAAAAAAAATCAATTTGACTCAATTTAGGCAAATATGCCTTTAATATTTGATAATATTATAACAAAGATGTAGGATTGTCAGAAATACCTAATCGTTTTTTCTCAATTAAAACATGAATAAACAGGTTGCAGTTTATTTTATTTTTTAAGATGTTAATAGCTTTACAACACTGAAATGTATTTTCATTATTTAATTTCATTATTTTTCCTTTCTGCAAAAACTGCCAGGGGATATATTGTCTTTAGTAATGTGGTTTATGACCTAGGAAGAAGAGGAAGATGTCACAGACACTAAAGATGATGTCAGAGATCGTTCTCGTTCCTAATTGGACCGGTCATAGCTACTGAAATGTGATTGGCTGTAAGGGCAGCGTTAACATTACCTTGTTTTGTAGCCACTTAGCTGAGGAACTCTGACTTTTCTCCTTGTTTGAAACGAAAAGGTTTACTTTATATTTATAACACCTGACACCACAACTATCGTACACAGAGGCGCTTATTTTAATATCTTTAAAGATTTTGATATTTAATTGTCTGCGGTTTAGCGGAAACAACCTTGTTCGTGCATGCTAATGCTAGCCGATAGTCAATGTTGACATGTTGGGTCATTAAATATGTTGCATGAAACCCTGACATTGTAGACAGACAGTCAAGTTAAAGAAAGATTTATGGCGTCCACCAGACTCCTGTGTTTGTTGCGTTCTAAAGCAGCAGCAGGGGCAGCAACCTCCACACAAACTTTAGCCAGAAGTGTTTCCTGCAGAAGACATGTCTCCACTTCACCTTCAACACAGCAGAGCTGCATGTCAGCCTGGGTCATCGATCAGTACGGTTCTAACGGGGTTTTAAAATACTCAGAAGAAGCCGCCTTACCTGTTGTCAAGTCTCCCTGTGAGGTGATGATCCAGGTCCATGCAGCCAGTCTGAACCCTCTGGATCTGGCTATGAGAGGTGAGCAGGAAAAAAGACAGTGTGGGTGTTTGTAGAAGTTTATAAAGAGTGATCAACTGCTGATCTTTCACAGGTGGTTATGGTGCAAAACTGCTCAAATTAAAAAGAGATACAGCATCTGTCATGAACCAGGACAGCGAGTTTCCTCTAATTCTGGGTCGGGACTTGTCAGGTGTGGTGGTCGACTGTGGATCCGAGGTCTCAGAGTTTGTTCCTGGAGATGAGGTAGGAGCCAGACTGGACACTCAAATGTGGCATAAATACAAAAGCAGATTTAAATAACACACGAGAAGGATATTTTTAATCACTTAAATTGATTCACAAAGACCAGAGATCTTCTTTGTTATTGTTGTTTTCCTGCAGAAGTAAGTGCAATTGCAAATGAACTCAAATCGAATCTAATTTAAGAGAACAAAAAATAAGACATCAACTTGACCCATTAGCACGGCACTTTTCTTGTTTAATTAAAAAATATAAAAATATCCCAGAAGATCATTCACTGGTTGGAACAGGCAGGCACAGGTGACTGAGGCTGTAATAGAGAGTTAATCAGATTATTCAGAGATGAGGTGTAGGCGGTTGAATGAAGTCCTGATCAGCATGTGAACTGTCACATTACTGCCGCAGGTGTGGGCTGCTGTTCCTCCATGGAAACAAGGAAGTCTGGCAGAGTATGTGACTCTAACGGAGTATGAGGTGAGCTGCACATGACTGTGTGAAACAGACTTTAATGTAATTGTTTTATATTGCAATTAAATTGCAATTTGAACTGGTGCAAATCTATATATATATAAATCTATATTTGCTGTGTATAATGTAGTGTTTGCTGTTTTTTATAGTATGATATTGTGAAGCGTCATGTTGTCAAATGTTTATTTATACAATATTAACATGAGGGCTTTATATCCCAAAGTTCATCATTGGTCACTTAGTGTTGGTGAACATGATCAAGGCCACATTTGAATATTCTGAGCATCAGACATAAGAAAGATGGACTCTTTATTTTTATTATATTATAATATGATGTAAAAATACCATCATCTCATATGATTAGACATAATGCTGTATTCACATTACACAAATGACCTTCAAAGTCAACAGATTTTACACAAATGACCTTCAAAGTCAACAGATCATCATTTACACAGGAAGTTTTGGATTAACAGGAAAAAGGCATTCATGATGTGCAGCAGACGAATCTGCAGCAACTGTCGGATGAAAACTGTCAGTATTTAACCAAAAATTGTGCCCCTGTGTTTTGATATAATTCTAAAAAAAACTCCATGATGCTCACTCTGTAAATAGTAGTGTATTTGTTTGTGCTCTCTAATGCACCCTGAGACTATTATTGCCACCTATTGTGCTCAATTATTGTGTTCGTTTTCATGCAGTGCAGCACTTCATTAATTCAGTCCCAGCCTCTCACAGCTCTAATGAATGGTTTCATAATCAGTTGAAAGTTCATGCGGTTTTGTATCATAAACCACAGTCCAAGGCGATCGATGAAGAGATGAGGCAGGGAATATAGATTATTTTGCAATTATATATTTATATAAGAGCTTCTAACTCCATTTGTCCAAATAAATACAATTAAATTAATGGGAGAAATTTGGGGAAAACATAGGCAAAAATGGTCTAATCAACCAGAAAATTTTACGATAACCCTCTCCCCAGTCCCTCCCTCTGTTAAAGACCGCTGTCCTCCACGATTGAATTCCTCTGTCATGCTGTCTTTGCAGGTTTCCCACAAGCCGCAGTCATTGAGTCACACAGAGGCAGCATCAATCCCCTACGTAGCCAGCACTGCTCTGTCTGCACTCGTCTTTGCCGGTGGTCTGTGCAGGGACAGTGCTCTGAATAAAAGGCAAGCCGGTCTTTTGGCCGTGAGATGCTTCTAGCAACCGAGACTTTGACAAAGTCTCCACTGTAGAATAAGATACACTGTTAGCAGCACTTCATTTACTTCTGGATTGGAGAAAACATGTGATATGGACGTTAATGTTGCATTAAATTAGCTTCAAAACTTTTTTTGAACTGTAGAGTTTTGATCATCGGAGGTTCAGGAGGTGTCGGAACATTTTCTATTCAGGTGAGACCAGGTATTTCTTAATAAGTCATGTTTCTTTGACCCTGATCCTGATCTGCTCACTGTCTATTCAGGTGAGACCAGGTATTTCTTCACCGTCATGTTTCTTTGACCCTGATCTGCTCACTCTGTCTGTGTGTGCTGTGTGCGCTCATCCTTCTTGTGTACGTGTTGGCAGTTATTAAAATCCTGGGGTGCCCACGTTACCGTCACCTGCTCGCACAACGCAGAGGGCCTTGTTAGGGGGCTGGGGGCCGACGAGGTGGTGGACTACACTCCAGGAGACATCGCTCAGAGGCTAGAAATGATGGAGAAGTATGTACAGTGCGTGCCGTCACTGTGTAGAATCTTTCTAAGCTAACATTGGTTAATTAATTTGTGGGAACTTGAAGAAAAAAAAATGTATTAAAAAATCTGAAATAATCTCTTTTTTGGCTTTGTGTAATCAGATTTGATGTCATCTTGGACAACGTGGGTGAAGACACAGAGCAGTGGGCCATGGACCTGCTGAAACCCTGGTCAGGGTCCAAGTACGTCACCTTGGTCACACCTTTGCTCCACAGCACTGACTCTCTGGGTCTCCTCAACGGGACGATTAACGCTGGCTGCTTTTTGTGCACCAAGGCTGCACAGGTAAACAGGAAAACACTCATTTGAACTCCAACTTTGACACCTGTTTTCAAACGGCCACTACCTTGTTGTTTGTTTCGGTGTTTGTTTGTCGTTGTTGAATTTTTCCATTCTGGACAGTATTAGCGTGGGCGGGGACCTCAGGTCATTCCCAACCAGAGTGACACTCATGGAAAGACAACATTGTGTAATGTGTGTACATAGACTCTAACTCTTTAGGCCAGCTAATGTTTCCTGAAGTGGAATGTGCAGTAATGCAGTGAGTTGTCAGTAAACACAACTCCTGCATAAAACTAGGTAGAAGTGTGAAATACTCTTTCAAAATATTTAAAAACCAAAGAGTAAAACGTTCCAGATTACATCGCCTCACAAATTATCCTAGAATGTTTTTCAGGAAAGAAGTGTTTCAGTGAATTTTAATGTTACCCCCACCTCAAGTTATACAAAAAAGTTATTATTTTAGAAGATGCTTTTCCTACTGCGAGCTGATCCTAGCCCTCCCCGACATGACCAATTGTGCCCTAAAAAGGAACAACTTGCCTCAGTGGTTTACATTTGTGCTCACATTAGGATATTACCCAAAAAACATTAATATTTTTGAGTGTGCAAATAAAAAAAAAGTAACAAAACCAGTAAATGAACAACCTTGGTTTTATTTATTATATTTTTAAATTCAAAACTGTTTTCCACTGCAT